GTCAAAAATTCCGCGTTAAACGCGGTTTTCCCAATTACCTTGAGGTCGCAATTTCCCAATTTGGGTCAGCCAAAAAAGAGTTATAGAAATTCAATGTTGTTAATACGCCATTAAAAACATGTTTATAACTACATTTGCTCAAAATTACTCCCAAAATACGGGAAATGCCATTTCAAAGACACAAAGATTTTAAAAATCGAGAGGGGGGAACCGCATGCCCCCAGTGACCACAAAGAAATGCCCGGCTTCAGGCTAAAATAAATTTCCCAGTTTCAGGTAAACGCGGATTTTTTTTTACTTCTGGCTAACACCCTGTTGGTATAGTTTCTCACTCATTGGCGAGCGGATTTCCCTACAGGCTATTGCCCAATTGATATAGGGGATCCGAGGCACCTATGATTTTAACATCCTTATCCGAGAAGACGCGAAAGTCTAACCATTTACTGATGTCCATGTAAATTAGGTAACATTTTCTCCTTAATTTGATCTCTAAATTACTATAAGTTTAATAATTAAATAAAAAAACCCAAATTACTCGATGACTTTCCAAATCCCTAACCGAAATGACGTCACGATAAAATGAGTCAGGATTACTATTGCAAGGATTGCATGGGAATTTGGAAATGTTAAGCAATGTTAATACGGCCAGAAATAAACGTAATTTATGTAACATGCATACCCTCGACTTCTTCCTCTGTGTTATCATCTTCAGCTTCCTCGACAGTCTAAAAAATAAACAATGATTGATATTAAAAATACATATAGCGAAAGGACCATAATGTAATGAATACAACGACCCAATATAACATTGAACGGCAATATAATAGAATAGTAGGTTTCATTCCTTCCAAGTTGAGGATATTGCATTTTGCGCATTGCCCAGCTTATTTCCAAAACGTTGGAACCTTCCATCAATTTTTCCAAACAAATATATGGTTATAAATATACACATATGAGTAAGTTACAAAATATAATAGTTAACTCGAGCGCAGCGAAAAACACATGCACCATCCTATAGTTTCAACGTACTTGTTGTAAAACTAGCTTTTTATAGACACCATCTTTCTCTATCAATTCATCATGTGTACCGACTTCAGCTACAGCGCCATCTTTCACAGCGACAATCATATCTGCATCACGGACTGTAGAAAGACGATGTGCAATAACGAATGTTGTCCGACCTTCTCCTGCCTAGAAAAAACATAAATGGGTTTTTAATGTGAAAATTGACGTAAGGGATGTCTCCGTAACAGCTTGGTAATAATTTTATATTTTTACCTTATCTAACGCCTCTTGTACAATAGATTCACTTTCGTTATCAAGAGCCGAGGTGGCTTCATCTAACAGTAGTATTGTTGGATTTCTGATCAACGCCCTGGCGATGGCAATACGTTGTTTTTGACCTCCACTCATCTGAGCCCCTCGTTCGCCACACAGTGTTTCATAAGCCTTAAGAAAAAGCATTTATATTATACTTGAATAACACTATATATACAGTATTTTCATGTTCTTAGCTATTCAAACCATGCATGACCTTGAACTGGACGACAATTAAATATCCTTTGTAAGTACTATTCAGTATTGCATGTTTTGCCTTGTATAAAACCTGTGATTTGAATAAGTAAACAATGAAATATATTTCTAAGTTTACCTGGAGTTTTTACGTAACACTTTAACACTGTACTCCTACTGTTACTTATGATACCTTATGATGTAATACACGACGTGTGCCTTACTGTAACGTACCTTGCCATATCTTAGCGTAACATACCTCCACTGCACTTACCATACCGTGTACCTTACAGTAACGTACCCATATACCTTACCATAACATATCCACACCGTATCGTAATGTACTTGTGTCGCAGCCGTCCCTTACCGTTACGCACCCATACCGGTACCGTGACTTATACCATAACGTACCCATACCGTAACAGTAACGTACCCGTATCATATCTTATGAAAATGCTGTGCTGAGTAGTTATATTTATTTACTACCTGAAATAAACAAGCAGAAACTCGACGTTTCGAGCGAAGGCCCTTCGTCAAGAGTTAGTAGCAGAGTTAGACTACTAACTCTTGACGAAGGGCCTTCGCTCGAAACGTCGAGTTTCTGCTTGTTTATTTCAGGTAGTAATATAACCACTCAGCACAGCATTTTCACATTGGTACTACTGTACCTACACTGGTACAGACAGTTTCCGTATCATACCTTACCATCACGTACCTATACTGACCTAACCGTGACTTAGCGTAACGTACCCGAGAATACCTAACCTTACTGTAACGCACCTCACCATAACGTACCTGTAACGTAACGTAGATTACCATACCGTAACCGAACCTTTGACGTACAAATATCGTACCCCAACTTTACCTGTCCACACAACACCTTTATCCATATATATGTTATAATTTAAATCAAAACTAACAAATATATATCGCTTTTAACAAGTATAATAATAATAATAATCTGTTTAATAAACCGAATTGCAGTAACAACTGAATTACACGGTACAATAGAATATAATAAGGTAAACATACTAAGATTATAAATATAAATATCAAACATATTTAACTGTTACAAAATTTCCAAAGCGATCAGTGTTCGTGATAAATTTGTTAGTTGATTGTGTTCTAAAATAATAATTGTGTTCGGTAATAAATTTTATACATGAATTATCTCTACGGGTACTAAGAGTTTCCAATCCTGTGCAAATCAAAGCCCCTTCATAAGACGTGTCAGGATAAATTATTCGTAATGCCCGTTTTCGAATTGATTCAATAACACCAGATAGATAAACCGTCGAAGATGACCATGCTGGAGAAGCGTACTCAATTCGCGATCTTATAAACGAGCAATAAATATCGACAAGCTCCGACTTACTTAAACCAGCTTTCTTAAGTATGCGAAGCGCATAAAGCCTTGTATTTGCCTTTTTGATAACGTAGTCCACATGACAGTTCCATGAAAGATCATCAGATAACAAGCCAAGTAATTTAAAAGATGAAACAAGTTCAATAGGCACTCCAGATATGTGAATCACATTATCACATTGCAGACTGTATTCAAGGAAGGATATAACCATTTCCTTACATTTTTTTGGATTAAGTTCCATTCCCCGATTCGATGCAAAATTAAAGATTTCGTCAACAACGACATGTAGTACACTAGGCGAACTCCGCGGGACAATCTCCAACAATGTGGTGTCATCAACGATCTTTACCCGCCCCTGCCAATCTTTCAAAAGGGAGTTAGTAAGGATGGCGAAGAGAATAGGGCCAAGGTTAGTGCCCTGAGGTAGGCCACCGTTCACTTTCTTCCAGGAAGAAGATGCCGTTGCGAGTTTTACACTTTGCTCCAGGCCAGTAAGAAAGGACTTAATCCATCTAATAACAGCCAGATGGACTTGGAGGTTTCTAAGTTCACCAATAATGAAATTGTGATCAACGAGATCGAAGCCTTTCCTAAAATCGGCAAAGAATAATCTTGCATAACAATGTCCTACGTCTAAACCAGCATGAACCAGTATGAATCAGATGCAGGAGGGAAACCGATGCCTGAGTGGACCAGAGTGGTTGATTTCCTAGGCATAGCAAACTGTTTAGTATCCAATTTATTGCTTACTTCACCTAGCAACGAATCCAACGTAAAACCTTTGCATCACTTTACCAATCTGGGACGTAAGAGATATTGGTCGAAAATCGTTCTCGATGGATCCTAGAGGAGATACTTTAGGGATGGGTATGACAAAAGCACGCTTTAATTGTTGTGGGAAATTTCCTTGTACCATTGAAGCATTGTAGATGTCTGTAACAACAGGTGCAAGTTCGAATGCAAAGGTCTTCAAAATCTTGTTGGGAATATTATAAGGACCTGGCGACTTAGTAACTTTAAAGTCTTTAATATGTCGTAAGGTTGAATAAACTTTACCAGTATCAACAAGAAAGTGGTCAGGTACTTCCATCAGCTCGCCAGTGTCGTTGTGATCCAAAGGTTGAAAGTGCGAAGTGAGACCAACAAGAAAATTATTGTAAGATTCCCAAGTTCCGAGCAAGTTGGATTCACTTCGGATAATAGTTGGTGGTACTGAACAATCTTGAGATGAGAGTCCGCCCAATGTTTTGATTTCTCTCCACCATCTAGATGGATTTGTATTTTGTATTCTTTAATTGTATAACTGAATGAGAATAAAACTTACTTCGAGCTGCTTTGACATCACGCTGAACTTTGCCTCGCCAGAATTTATAAACTTGTGAAGATTTTCCATGTTTTTGCAAAGCGTTTTGACGTTTTCTAATAGCAATTTTAAGTGACGAGGTCATCCAGGGTTTGTGAGACTGCCGAATTCTCGTTAACTTAGTTGGAAAAAAGGAATCAACCATTAACAACATAGTTTCGATACATTTTTCGAATTTCAATGCAGAGTCAGATGTTTCAAAAACTTCTAACCATGCAGTCATATAAAGTTTGTTCGTTCACTGCAACCAGGTATATCAATCATATTTCGCTCGCTACTCTGGTTTAAATAAATGATTACAAAGCCCAGTCGAATTGTAATCAAGACCCAACGTTTCAACACTCCAGTCTAGTGTCTTCATCAGGGGTGATCTAAAACTGCGATCGTGGCCTCTTAAATACCCAAAGGATGACGTCACCTGCCAAGAAGATGCATATATTCTTCTGGCAAATAGGCGCCGTCATCCCTATTCAAACATGATGACTCATATTTATATGCCACGCTTCTAGGCAAAGTCTTTGACCATAGCGATTGTTTGTGGTAATTACTTTAGAGTTTTCCCACGCAATCTCGTGTTTGGTGTAACATACATGTTCGGCTAAAGCTGATTTTCCCTTGTCTAAAGTTGAAACAGCCTTTTGATGTTCTTTTAGCCGTGTACCAAACTGGCGTTTAGACTGACCCAAATACTCTTTATCGCAGTCACCGCATGGTATAGAATATATAGCATGAGTCTTCTGATTTTTTTTTTTCAACAGGATCTTTTGGCTTTGCGAAAATATGGCCTAAGGTCAAATAGGGTTTTAAGGCAACCTTAATATTACAATTACTTAAGATTCTCTTGATTGGTTCTGTGACACCTTGAATGTATGGAACTATTGCAAAACCCTTAACAGAGGTATCACCCTCGGAGTTATTTTGGTTCCTACAAACAGGTGGTCTCAGGCAATCATTAAGAAAACGCTTTGGGTAATTGTTTTCCCCTAAAACATTTAGAACATATTCACGTTCATTAGCTTGAGAATCACTGTTTGACGGCAACGACTCAAAGAGGTTTAAACGCCAAGTTACTTCTTTTGAAGAAATCCAACTGACTCGTCCCCAGTCGCTTACCTAACGCGCGTTGAATTACCCATGGTCCTTTGCGTTAGAAGCAGTGTTAGGGACTGTGGAAGAGTCAGGAAATCCAATATTATCAGCAAGGCTACATATGAAAAGTTATACAGCAGTGATGGACTATCTCCGCGTTTCTATGGTTTACCGAAAATCCATAAACCGGAAATTCCATTGAGACCTATTGAGTTCTTTGTGAATTCTCCTACATATGGAGTTTCAAGTTTTTTGGCGAAAATTTTGTCCACTGTGGTGGGAAATACCGAAAACACTGTCAAAAATTCCTGTCATTTTGCAGAATTTGTAAGAGGTAAAACTCTTAAAGCAGATCAAGTGTTGGTATCATTTGATGTCGTTTCCTTGTTTACAAATATCCCAGTTGATCTTGCCATCAAGGTTGCGGCAAAAAGACTAAGACAGGATGCCACTTTGTTACAAAGAACATCCTTGTCTGTAGAAGATATTATTGATCTTCTGTCTTTTTGTCTCAACGCCACATACTTTGTGTTTGAGGGCTGTTATTATCAACAGGTTTTTGGAACAGCAATGGGGTCACCAGTTTCGGCAGTAATTGCTAATTTAGTAATGGAAGATGTCGAACAAAGAGCTTTAGCCTCTGTTCCGGTGTCCCTATCGGTTTGGAAACGTTTCGTCGATGATGTCATCTCTGCGGTTTCTACAAATGAGATCGATATTCTGCTGCAACATTTAAATTCTATTGAGCCGTCCATCCAATTCACGGTAGAACGTGAAATAAATGGACATTTAGATTTTTTAGATTTGAATGTACACAGAACTGTCGAAGGGAAGTTAGAGACTGATGTTTATCGCAAACCCACACACACAGACAAATACTTGTCATACGACTCTCATCACCCAGTAAGCCATAAAAGATCCGTAGCAAAAACTTTGCTTCAAAGAGCTGAATCGTTGCCGTCAAACCGTGATTCTCAAGCTAATGAACGTGAATATGTTCTAAATGTTTTAGGGGAAAACAATTACCCAAAGCGTTTTCTTAATGATTGCCTGAGACCACCTGTTTGTAGGAACAAAAATAACTCCGAGGGTGATACCTCTGTTAAGGGTTTTGCAATAGTTCCATACATTCAAGGTGTCACAGAACCAATCAAGAGAATCTTAAGTAATTATAATATTAAGGTTGCCTTAAAACCCTATTTGACCTTAGGCCATATTTTCGCAAAGCCAAAAGATCCTGTTGAAAAAAATCAGAAGACTCATGCTATATATTCTATACCATGCGGTGACTGCGATAAAGAGTATTTGGGTCAGTCTAAACGCCAGTTTCGTACACGGCTAAAAGAACATCAAAAGGCTGTTTCAACTTTAAACAAGGGAAAATCAGCTTTAGCCGAACATGTATGTTACACCAAACACGAGATTGCGTGGGAAAACTCTAAA